TTCAGATCATAGTGAGAGAGTTGGCACTTTTGCATCCAGATCCATCTCTCCAGCGAAGTTCTTGCCCAGAACTGTCACTGCTACGCAACCACATTCATAAAAGTTGGCCCAAATGCAGATACGGTCTGCTTTAGATCCTTAGCCCAAACATTCAGGTATGACACAAGCTGTCAGTTCATTGATAATGAGGGAGACAGATGGCCTGGTGTCTCCTGTTCCACTACATGCCAGAATTGTTGATCTAGCACATGAGGGACGCCAAGGCATAGTCCGTAACCAAGCAGAGACGTGATCTATTCTGGTGGCCACAACTGGACTAACTTGTGCGTTGTGTCATTAACTGCCAGTTCAGTGATAAAGTAGCCATAACTGCCCTTGCTCCATTTACACCAGTCGAGCTACCCAGCAAACCATAGGACAAAGTTGCAATAGATATTACAGGTAAAATTGAAAATGCTACATGGGACTGCCATTATGCAAACGTACTTACAGATTACTACAGCAAGGAAGGAATTAGGACCCACCATTATCTAGGTTGTCCTACCCATCTCACCCTTTGCTCTATTTTTGTACTTCACTGACCACATAAAGGAGCTGGTCACTGCTGCCATCAAAAAGACCCCACGCCCCAGTCTCATTCCTGCACCCAAAGACCTCCCACAACATTGTCACCCCCACCACAAAATCCAAATGACAACTTTGTTTTTTACTGACCTCATCTGGTCAAAGTTGCAGGATTCTCCTAGATCACAGCTAAAGAAAGCCGTGCATCTTCAGACTCATATGTTTTACTGAGGATATTCACTGAATTAATTTCAGTTGTGGGCATTTATTTTGACCGTTGGATCACAGGGGACCTGAATGGGAAAGTGGCCCAAGACAACCATGGTAAATAACTCACTGTCCTTTACATGCTTGGTCTAACTCAGAATGTGAACAAGCTCACACAAGAGGGGATATAATCTAGATGTGCTCATTTGAAAGGTAGTTTTTACAATAATATTTGTGTATCCTCAGTTACACCGAAACCAACAGTCGGTTCTGCAGTTTTTCAGGGGACACTCATAGATGACAACACATGGACACCGTTTATGGAAATGATCAGGTTTTAAAGAACTCTGTGTTCTAATGTTGATGATCTGTTGAACTCTTACACATCAAGTGCCTGAAAAGGTTTGGAAAGTTGTTTTATCTGCACTCTTTACTTTTCATGGTTTTAATTCATTATTTTATTATTGTCTTATTTTCACTAACTTGTCCTAAATTTTCATTTTTTTAATCCGTTGTGTAAAGCACTGAATTATCTTGTAGATTAAATCTGCTATACAAATACATTTGCCTTGCCTTGCCTTAAGATATACAGACAGTTCTGAGTGGGAAATAGTTTTTTATCCTTTAGTCAGAGGGTGGTGGAATTGCGTCCTTAAAGAATGTGTCCTTAAAGCATTCAGTGTCCGATTTGAGAATAGCATGGGTATGACATCATCAGCTTTAAGTCTTTCAAAATAAGTAAATAAACATTAATTAATTAAATACACTCTGAGTCGAGAAGAGGCAGTCTTCCTTTACAAAGATTACTTTTTTTTAAAGAAAAAAATAAAACTAGTTTCTCAAGTAGTACGCAATTCAAAGTCATTCTGCAGTGGCCTACCATTGATATTTATTTTTGTTTGAGCATGCAGTTTTACATTTAGAATCTAATAGTGACGCCATGCCATCTCCAGCATATGAAGGAGAATTCCAAAGCATAAAAGATTATTGTAAAGGTAAGGATATATAGATCTGTAATGTTAGGTTTGAGTCACTGTGTGAAATTTTTTGGACCTGTGAAATTACTAGGGTCCAAGGGTCTAAAATTTGCAAAAGAAAACGTCCAAGAGTGTCAATATGTTTTTTTTATCTTGACTAGTTCCTCATACATTTGTGTTATAAAAGTAATACAATATTCTGATGTATTTAAGCAGGTTTATCTGATTCCTGGCATTTTTTTATTCTAGGTCCAGGTATTATAGAAATGAAAAGAAAGCATTGGTGCTTAAAATTGAAAGAAGATTGGTGATTGTAGGCCAGTAGCACATACTTAAACTGAATTAAGTCTGATAGAAGATTAACACACAGACTGAAAGAGAAGAGGAAGTTAACTTTGCAACATTGATCCCCAAACACAAACAAGGAAAGGATATGAAGGACAGAGGAAGATAACCCCACAATCAAATGTCACCTTTGGTAGAAACTAAGTTAATTTGAGCTATATGGGGAGAAAACTTATATGTATAACTTATGTGTATATCTTCTTGTTTTCCCTAAACGTGTTCAAATCACCCAAAATGTAATTGGGACTGAATTAAAGATCATGGTGTTATGGGATTGTTGCAGAGACCTAAGCAGAGTCCAAATCCCAGCTGTATAGATATGTGTGGGTACTCTGGATTCTTCCCATATCCAAATACATACAATTTATTGTCAAATGTATTGACTGAACCAACAGATATTCAAAATCAGGTGTTCCAATCACTTCTACGGCCACAGATGCATAAAGCAAAACAGTTTTTACAAAAATTTGTGAAAGAATGGGTTTCTCTTGGGAACAGTGAATTCCAGCATGTTACTGTGATAGGATGCCACCTCTGCAACAAGTCAAGTGGTGAAATTTCCTCACTCCTGTAAATATTCCACACTTAACTGTGATTTGGAACAACAGCAACTCATCCATGCAGGGAAGGCCATGTATAATGGCAAAGCAGGAGCAAAGGATGCTGAACCACATAATGTGCAGTGGTCACCAATTTTCTTGTCTAGTCAATCACTAATCCAAGTATCAGGTGACTTTCACATTATCTCGAAAGCAGTTCAGGGAGAGCTTCAAACCATACAACACAAAGAGTAATGCAAAATGTTGGATACGGTGGTACAAAGCACTCTACCACTGGACTCTAGAGCAGTGGAGATGCATTCTCTGGAGTGATTTATTGTGCTTCTTCAATTGGCAATCCGATGGAGGAGTCTGTGCTCAGCAGTTGTCAGAATAACAATACTTTTCTGACTATATTTTTCTATATTTTTTTTTATTAAAATCAATTGAATTCAATAAACTGTGTTAGTCCCCATGGGGGGCAATTTAAAGGGCTCATTCCATTAACAATGTTACTAACTGGACTCTCTCCCGTCCCCGTAGTCTTGTGCTTTCTCGTCCCCCTTCTCTCTCCTCTCCCCTCCTATCACTTTCTGCAGATATTCCTGGCTCTGAAGCTGTGGAGTCTGGATCTGTGGTTGGGAGTTTCCTGCTGCCCCCGTGTTCCTGCTCTGTTGCCGTCATAACTTCTACCATTATCATTAGTATTAATATCATTGCCATTTTTCATCTAGTCTACGTGTTGCTGTATTGGCTGCCTCTCTCTGCTCCCTCTGTCCTTCTCTCGCCCTCTCTCTCTTGCCCTCTCTTTCCCTCACCCCCAACCAGCCGAGGCAGATGGCCGCCCACCCTGAGCCATGGTTCTGCTCCAGGTTTCTGCCTGTTAAAAGGAAGTTTTTCCTTGCCTGTGTCGCCTAGTGCTTGCTCATGGTGGGAATTGTTGGGTTTCTGTAATTAACTTCAGAGTATGAATAAAATTTAATTGAATTGAATTGACTGTGGAGTAGCATAATCTTAGTGTATACTGTGATAATGGAGGCATTTTCTGTTGAGGAGGAAGGTGGGATTAAACCAGGAGGCGATGGAGAGTGTGATGAGACTGTCAATAAATGTGTAATAAAATGTCATTAGAATGTTGTTGCTGACTCCTGGGGAATTTAGCTTAACTTCTGCCATAATTAGCCTGTGATAACAACTTAACTGCACACATCTACCTGCTTGTCCTCCTTCTCAGAACCCTTCACACAGACCTCTACTGCCACAGGGTTACTGCCCCAAGACCAAACAAGGATCACAGAGACTGGAAGAAAAGTTCTATAATTATTCTGGGTCAATAATCTTTCTGGGTCAACATTAACACCTCCATCTTTTCAGATCTCACATCACCACAGGACAGTCTCCCACAGCGGCTACTTAAGGCGCTGCTTTGTGTTCCCTCTTCATTAATGTTTTGTTTATTTTCTCTTATTAAACTTCTAACTGCACATCAGATTGCGTTTTTCTTGTAGGAATTGAAATCATACAAATGTTCGGCACTTTTATCCTGGTTTTAATCATGTTTGGAATAATGGTATCAGAACTTTATCATATAAATTTCTGTTGTTTTCACAGCTGTTCGGCCTGCAACACAGCAGTGTCTTTAGCCAAACACACAAACGTCACCGCGAGAACTCAATGGATTTTACTGTGAGCAGGTGAAAAGGAGTTGCAAAGGGAGCAGCAAGAAAGTAGGAGAAAGGGTTGTGATCTATGTTTACAAAAAATGGTCTAACCCTCAGCACATTACGGTTAAGAAACAAGTCTAGTTTCCCAGGTTCCCAAAGAGATCCTGGACAGACGGAGGGTCCTGTTCATCGAAAGAGGACAAACTATTTGTCAACGGCCACCCCATGGCTCTACTAATCCGAGGTGATATCTACTCACTTATATCTTAGTATTTAAGTACCCCTTTAGACTGTGTAGGCTGGATACATCTGTAATATTCTATTTAATCTCACAGTGAACTGTAAAATAGACACACCATCTCCATAGTCCTACTGCTGCAGTGTCACAACACAAACCGGTGTCCTACATGATGGTTTACTTGGGTTCTCATTGGGTTATACCTTTCCTGCACCTTTACTCTTTTGCACTGTTTTATTTTCTGTCCACTTTCACTTTTATCTTATTTTATCAACCTGCTGCATTTGCACTCCAACATGTTTTGTTCAAATTAAGACTACCTTGTAAGGCACACACAGGGGAACACACCACTAATAGCTCACACACAGATGGTGGCTGCAGACACAAGCTAGAAGTCAGCGGAAATGGCAGTCCGACAGACATGGTTAAACAGTACATGAGTGATTTTGGTCTTTGTGATGCATGGCGCTGCCACCATCCCACTCTTAGAGAATCACTTTCTTCTCACCAGTGCACCGCTCACATTCTAGAGAGCCGTATGTCACATTGATAAATCAGTTCTCAGCACTTTCCGACACTTCTGTGAACTGGTCTAAGTCCACAGCTCTGTCTGTTAACTGTAGCTTCCAAAATATACCAGATATCACTTTGCAGTCAAGTAATACTAGATACTTGGGCATAAACATTTCCTCTAGGGTCTCAGAACTAACAGCACTAAATTATGTACACCTCTTAAAATCAACAGAAGATGACCTCACACGTTGGAAATCATTTCCCATCTCACTCATGGGGAGAGTTGCTATCATAAAAATGATGGTACTTCCCAGAATTTATTACCTATTTTCAATGATCCCAATAAAACCACGTGCTACTTGGTTTAAGTCACCAGACTCATGTAGCTCCAAGTCTTTGTGGAAAGACAAACCTCCACGTATCAGTTTAAAAACTCTTCAAAAGACCAAAGACAGGGGTGGATTAGATCTACCAGCTATTTTTCACTATTTCTTAGCCAACAGGCTACAGTATACCGCAAAATGGCTTAAACCCAGTCCCCAGGATAAGCCATGGCTAAATGGACTTTGAGGAAACCTGTGAATCTCTGATCTACCATTTATTAGTCTAAACATAAAACATCACAAATGCTTCAAAAGCAATAATATAGGCACTTCTTAATATAAGTCCTCAATTCTCCCATGTAAGGTTACACCCATCAGGAGCAATCCTGAAATTCTTTAAAATAAAAATAAGCTTAACTTTATTCAAGGACAAACAATGGAATAAAACATTTCGATAATATAATTCAAGATGGAAATGTTATCCCATCTGCTGAGTTAATATTTCAATATAGGCTTAGCAGCAGTTTATTTCTAGATTACCATCAACTCAAATCCGTAATAACTAAGAAGTATGTTGTCCACCATTTGGACTTGCAACTTCCAAATGGGGTACCAGAATACCTAAGCATCTGTACCCCAAAATTAATATAAAAAAATATATTTTCAAAGACAGATGACACAATCTCTCTGCCCGTGTTAAAGTGGGAACCAGACCTATCATTCACCACTGACAGTCATTTTGGCCAAAAATATGTTCGAACATCTTCAGTATGACTACAAATCCCAATTTGCAGATTATACAATACAATATTCTTCATAGAACGCACTATATGGGACAAAAGATGTTCCGGATGGGTCTTGCACCTTCCAATATCAGCACACAATTCACGGACAACACACCGGACGATCACACACACGCTCTGTGGTTCTATGCACCTCTGTTCATAAGTTCTGGCTGGAGGTTTGTAAGGAATTATCACTATGGCTAAAGTGTAGTGTTCCTGCATGCCCCAAACTGTGTATTCTGGGTGATTTAAATGGAATCAACGTAGATAGGAGGTCAGTACAGTGTTGTGCATCACAAGGAAAACTATTCTCAAGAACTGGAAAATGAAAAATAACCCTAGCATTAATCAATTTAGAAATTCTCTTTTATTATTTATTATGGAAATAATGTCTGCATACTCTACACACAATTCGGTTGAATTTCATTCTCTCTGGTCCCCGCTTATTATCCTTTTCACCTAGAGGGTGCGGCAGGCTGCCGTCCTATGGCTTTGGGCGGTCAGACGGGGGGCTTGGGGGGGATCTGCATGAGGACTTGGGATCCTGGTGATTTCTTGGGTTGTAGGGGCTGGGTGGATCTCTGCGGTGGTGATTGGGCTTCTGGCCTGGTTGGTGGCTTGGGGGTTCCCTTATGGTATTATCTTGTGGCATGGGGTTGGGCCCCCTTGTGGGCCTGGTGCGGTGGCCTCTGGCTCCTGGCCGGGTTGCAGGTCGACTCGGGCATGGCCCTCTTCCCGGTGTCTGGGAGGGTCTGGTCGTCTTGGGCATGCCGTGGTGGGTCCAGGCCCAGACTGTTGTGGTTGAGGTAGCTTGGGTGTGTGTGTGAAGGCCCCACCCCCTTTTTTTCCTTCCCTCTTCAAGGAGCCGCAGGTGTGGCAGTGGTGTGCCCTCCAGTCGGGTGGTGGTCCCCTGCGGTTGCGGGGCCCGGGCCTTGGGGATATTCGGACCTCCAGGCAGGGGCAGGGCTCCGGGAGCAGGGGTGCCAAATGCAGCCTTGTACGGCTGCATCCTTCCCAGTTTACATCCCCTTACCCCTCTCCCCCCAGGCTCCAGTACACAGAACACACTCACCACATAGGGTTTCGGGACTATTGGGGTGTCCGTGGGGTGGTTAACTCATTGACTGCCAGCCATTTTCAGAACAGAGAGTACCATACTGCCAGAGTTTTTCGAGCATTTTGACTGATTTTTCAAGAGCCACAGAATAGTTTGTGCTATGACTATGTAAACACCGAACACACCAAAAGAAAGAGTAGACTCTCTTCTTTCATCAGGAAAAAAATGTGTTTCTACCTTATTCCGTTCTTTCTCGACGTGCTTCTCACCAGCGCCATTTTTCGCATAGCGAACCATTGCGTTTTTTTTTTATTTGCCTACAATCTATGCTCATCTCCCATCAAAAGTGGCACAGCTACCTAGAGGGTAAATTTGTAAGTACATACTCTGTCTAGAAGGCTGATATTTACGGACAAGCTTTAGCAGATCGTCCCCCAAGCCACTCGCGTTGAAAAACATAAAAAACGTCTATAGACGTCTTTGGCAGCGAATGAGTTAAGGGGTCCTCCTAGGAGGTTCTCTTTTCTCCGCCCTGCGGGACCCCCCATCCCGTGTTTTAATGGCACCTTAGACATTACATACCATCATACTCATACGAACGCATTAGGCCCAGGGGGGTTGGGTGTGTTGAGCGGGGTCGGGTGGGTGAGGCTCTCCAGGTAGTGGGGACTGCTCGGAGGGCCTTGCTCTGTGACTCTGCAGGGCCCCCCAGCCCTCTGTTTTAAATACATGTTAGACACGGAGGACCCCTGAGCTGGTCAGTGGTGCTAGGGTGTGTGCTGGCCCACTGCATTGGGCTGTCCGGGGTGCCTGGCCCTCTCGGATGCTGGGGTGTGGGGGCTCTGCTAGGGCGGATTGGTGGTGCTCGGGCTTGTGGGGCTAGGGTTTAGGGTTTCGGCCCTTGTCCCGTGCCTGTGGGGGGGGCGGAGTGCTGTCGCTCGTGGCTCCTGGGGGGCCTCTGCCCTATGCTCGTGGGGGGTTAAATTGGGGGGCTTCCTTTGTGGCCCTATGGGTGGTGGCCCGATTGTCTGCGTGGTGGTCTTCCTGGTCTCTGTGCTCCCCGATGGCCACTGGTGGACTGGGTCTGGGGTCCTCTCTGGCTTCTTCAGATTGCTGGAGCAGGGCCGGTGGTGGCGCCCCCACCGCAGGCATAGCTGAGCACAATCTGTGTGAAACCTGGGCTGCATGTTCTGCACGTCTGTGCTTATATACACACATACACAGACTAACTAATTTGCTCAGACACACACCTTCTGAGCTTCTGTGCAGTCGCCGTACAAATACGAAATATACCTGTATGTCGTTACTACCAGTTGCTTGGCTGCCTGTGGTTTTTGCTGCTTGTTTTTGTTTGTTTGTTTGTGTCTCTTCCTTGCGTCTGTTTACAGGTTCTCCCTCGGGTGTGACCACAGGACATTTTTGTTTTCTACAGATACAGCAGCTGATTTTATGGTTTTGTTGTCTTTTGTTCTTTTTTTTGTCTTTTGTTCTCTCTCACTTTTTTCTCTCTTTTCCTATCCCCCTTTCAGGTTTGGCATTGTTCATCTTACTTCTAAAACAAAAATAAATCTTAAATAAATAATAAAGCAGTACTGGATGATCAAGGGAGGCTTTTCACACAGACAAGCCTCCCTTGGCGAAGCAAAAGTGTTGGGCAGAGCAAGGCACTCAGATTCCAATTCTGTTACCATAATTCTAAACACACCAAGGGGGAGAAAAAAAAGAAAAAAAAGAAACAAGTCGAGCAGTAGAAAGCAGTAGTCTAGCAGTTCATATATTTGCCTCGAGGATTTCCACATGAGGTTTTCCACATGACTTTGTTCCCTTTGTTGTAATAATTAAGATAAAACACTGGATCTGTTCAATGCTTATGTCAAGGAAGCATACAGTGCCATAGCTCTCCCTACCCTGTGCAAATCAGAAGACAAGTTATTATAGCTCAAGCCCCAGTACGTCAGAGGGTGGCCACAGGAGGCTAAGGAGACCCTGAATGGCCGATTTGAGGTGACTAACTAGGATGGGAAGGACATTCACACACTCATGGACTGCAATACAGATTGTATTAACCTGCATGGATAATATAATTCCCACGGATAATGTAATCCTAATCCTAATCCTAATCCTCCCAGATCAATGGTGGAACCATATCAGGACCTTTATAGATCACGTACAATTGGCAAACTTGAACTTTGAAATCAGTTCAGATTTCGATGCACTGTGGCAATGTTTGTTTGTGCAACACCAGAATGTCTCAGCGTCCATCTATCATTACAGCATAATGCTCAAAAAGTCAAGTGCTGACAAAGTCTTGAAATAAAATCTTATGGAATATTATCTCAAAGTAATATCTCAAAGACACATCCCGCATTTCATGCTTAATATTGTTGTAGTTACATTATGGCTTTCTGGAGATTTTTTTGATAGTAGTTGTCACTGGAAGCAAACAGGAAGCACTCAATATCAATAAAATTAATATGATATCATATATATTATCCATCCATCCATTATCGTAACCACTTATTCCCTAATGAGGTCACGAGGGGAAATGGAGCCTATGATATTATATATTTTATACAACAGTATGATATCATATGACTAATATATATATTCATTTTCATTTAACATTAATTAACTATTTATTTTTAATTATTACATTTTAAGTTTACTGCTCTTTTTAAATGAATATAATACATTAATACACTAATTTAGGCTATCTCCTGACTTCAGCAATATTCTTTTATCATCATCTATCTCATCGACTATTATCCCTTTAAAAAAGGAACTACTTTGTTCACTATATTAATTAAGCAATCAGTCAATCAACAATTGAACATGTAGCAGAAATACTAGGATTGAAACGTAAGAATAAAAAACATTTGAAACAGTTTGCTTTTTGTTACTGTTGTTTATGTTGCATTAAATCATGCTTTCTATCTATACCTCATCAACACAGATCAAGTTACTTATTCATCCTCAATAGTTACCTTACCAAAGTTCTTGTGATCATGAAAATCACCAATATCAGTCATGTACCTCCAAGACTTTGCCAGTGATGTAGTTCTTACAGTTCTCACACTGTATCCCAAACATTGCATGATAATCCGTCTCACAGTATGGCATCCCATCCCTGTAAGGAAATTAAAAAAATAGATCAGTTACATGTGATAACTGATCCTGCATTAACCATGTAGATTAAGTGAATCAGTAAAATGGTCAAAAGCAGAAAATGAGACAAATTTAACATTTCTGCCGCCGAAATCGGATATCCAAGCACCTGTGCAGTTTGTTGAAGAGGAGCATCTTTTACCTACCATTCGTGTGACAAGGAATTTCTAATGATTGTGAGGCTTCACCTTATATGTGGATTAATGAAAATGTAACGAGTATGGAGTGAACCTAATACCAGTACAAATGACCAAGGAATTTCGTCTTTATTCAGCAGATTAAAGCAAGAACACAAGTACCAGTAGATGCAGCAGAGTGGGGCAGGTGAGTATGGCAAGATTAGAACCCAGGTCTCCTGTGTGCCAGACAAGCAAATCTTCAATAGAAGAATCCTTAACATACTGGACACATAGAGACAAGATGCTGTTCCCTCAATGAGCAGACTCTGGTTGGGGTGTTGCCAATGAAAACTGGTCACAAGGTTGGGGTCCACAAATGGCAAGCAGGAACCAATGATCTCTCCTCAGGACGTAACAATCTGCCCACAAGGACCTGTACACCTCTACAACAACAGCATACAGGAAATGCACTGCAGACACTAGACCACTATTGACCATATATGAAGAGGGAGGTAGATGTGCAGCAGGGACCAAGGGACTGCTGTGGACTGGTTTAATCTTGGAGACATGGAAAGTAGGGTGAACTCTCAAGGAACGTGGGAGCCTCAACCAGACTGCCAATGGATTGATGACTTTAATGGTGGTGAGAGTCTATGGATAGTGGCTAGTAACAGGCCATGGGTACCATCCTTTTTAACTTTACCTGGAGAGATAAATCTTAGGTGGAGAGCTACACTCTGACATGCCTGGTAGATAGGTTCATTTTTGGTGGCGGTTGGCAGTGGCAGTAATCCATACAACAAAGGAGATTGGAGCAAGCTTGAAACCATGTGATGAGGCAGTGATGGTAAGAGGCAGGAAATCTCCCTCTTTTGGGCTGAGAACAGTGGTGGTTGCCATATGTACACTGAAATGGAGAGAGGCCGGTGGCAGAGCAGACAAGTGAGTTGTGAGCATACTCAGCCGAAAGTAGTTGTAAGAATGAAGATGGGTTCTGAGGGGGCATGCATCGCTAGGCAGTGTCTAGTTCTTCGTTTATGTCTGTATAATTATCTGAGGGTGGAATACTGACTGGTGGTAGCACCTGTCAGACTAGAGAACTCCCTCAAAAACACAGAAGTAGACTGGGAATCATGGTTTGACACAACATCAACGGGGAAGCTGTACGGGTGGAATACGTGGCGTAAAACCAACTGAGTATCCTCTTTAGTAGAGGGGAGGTTGTTAAAAAAGACAATTGCTGAATTGGTCCACCATGGCCAGGATGACAGTCTGGCCATCACCAGGAAAATTGGTGATGCCAAACAGTATTACTAGGTATTTGTAGTGTCGAGTTACGGTGTTGAATGATGTCTTCCAGTTATCTCCCTCTCTGATGTGGACGATGTGGTAGGAAATGTGCAGATCATGTTTGGAGAAAGTGGTGGACCCTGGACCAGTTCAAAAGTGGTGGTGATGAGTGGTAGAGGGTAATAGTTCATTAAAATTATATTATTCACTCCTCAGTAGTTGATCCCAAAGAAAGTGGAAAGTGGCGGAGTGAAACAGAGCTAAACTTGTGCAGGCGACTGTGATGACAAAAGAAGCTCCACTTTAGAAGTGGCCCAGTCGATTCAAGGATAGTGAAGACAGAGCCATGGAAACCCCAGCAAGAATGGTGGGTAGGAAGAGCTGTGGATGTGGAATTGAACTGTTTGTTAATGATTACCAGAAAGCAGCAGGCGACTAGGTGAGGTCTGATGTGTGACATATCCCAAAATGTGTCTAATGCTCTAGCAGGGTGAGGCAAAGGAACCCACTTGAGTCCATGCTTAATGACCACCTTCTCATCAATGATACATGCATCGCCACTGAGTTAATGTGGATAACCAAGGTGTGATGGTCATTTGGAAGAAGGAAGCCTGGGAACAGAGATCTTTGACTTTTGGGGGGTGACAGGGCAGTTGAGCTCACCAGGGTCCCCCAACTAGTGGTGAGGTCTAACTTTTACTGGACAGCTGGCAATGAAGTGTCCTGGCTCACAATACAGAATGAGATTAGACTTGTGGCATCGCTCCTTCTCTTCTAGGGAGAGGGATATTGTAACAAACGGCATGGTTCAGGATCTCTAATCTGCTGACCTACTGGGACATACTGTAGTAGACTGCCGCAGCAACTCCCCAAAAATTGCATAGAAGATAAAGTTGAGTCCCCCTCTCTCGTTGGCGAGTCTGGATTCAAAGGTTAATGCAGATGGCAAAGCTAACCCTAATAATGATAACCATATACTTGTCCAAAAGTTTTCAACAGGCTCCACAAGTACAGCGGAGAGGAGACAGCACAAACTCACTGCTGATGGATGTCCTCTCAGAAAGCAGTTTAGATTAGGGCTGGGTGTGAATCCAGACCTTAAGAACAGGAACAAGCTGAGTGCCAACCAGCCACCGACATATGGGAAACAGCAAACAAGCAAACAGTAATTGCTGTTAGGAGCCAGTAGGCTCGTTGATTTACTAGGGCTAAGATGTGAGGCAAAAATCCAAGGCAAGTCAGGTTGATACCAGGTGAGCAATCCGCAGCAACAAGTGCTGGAGACTCTGGCATGAGAGCAAAGACAATCCGATAATGAATTAATGAAGTGAAGCTACATATACACTGGCTTGATTGGAGATGGTGAGCAGTAGACGGACAGACAGACAGTACTGGAAGTAGATAATGTGATTTGGGGTGTGGCTGAGCAGTCCAACAGGGGAGGGGACAAGCAGACCATAGCAGAAAAAGATGCTAAGACTACATGTGAAGGATGGCAAGAATTGTCAAAGCCTGTCATCCAACACTAAGTGCTAAAAGTCAGAATAAACAACAGCATTATTGAAATATTGTTATATTTCTATAAGTTAACCAGCGTTACTTACTTGCTGATGTACTCAGCACTGAGAACCTTGTTGCACACTTTACATTTGAAGCAGCCCAGGTGCCAGTGCTTGTCCAGTGCTACAAGAGACTGTTCATTTTTAAAATCCTTCCCACAGCCACAGCAATCTGTAGAAAGCATAGATAGGTGAAAGGAAGTTAGCTGCTATGTGATGCTGCTATATGAGGCTCAAACTAGCTAACTATGGATGACTTACTTTATCTAAACACAAAAGTGGCAGTGGGTGAACTTGTTTTCTGAGAGTCAAACTGATTTTACGAAAGTAGGTTTAAGGAATAAAAACAACATATTGACGTTGGCCTCTTGCAGTAAAATATGTTGTATGTAAATAGATAGAATACTGACTGTGGACAGCCTGTATGGGAGCAGGGCTATTTGCAGGGAGCGGCTGGTTACACTTTTGGCAGATACACTCCTTTCCATTAAATGTCACTCGGTCTCCAGCTGGAAATGGCTGTCTGCAAATGAACAAGAAAGAAAAATCTAACACAGCTTTTAACAGGTACTGTACAGCTTTAAAATTCTCCCAGAAGATATAATTAAGCTTTAATTTAAAAAAAAAGTGTGCAATAACATCACATAAAGTAGTTATGACATTGTAAGTTAAGTCATAGATAAATCCTCCACATCCAAACAGGTTTGGCATAGCATGTACATTTCCAAAAGACTAAAACCACTGAGGGCCATCAAATGTATTGTAAAACATAATTTAGCAAAGATTTTCAGTAAAAAACTGCGAAAAACCGTTTAACCTTTTGTCCTTAGATCTAAAGGATGTTCAAGAAAAGTAAGGCACAATTTAACAAATGTTGACAGTTTTGGTACCTAGGGTTTAATCCATTTGAACTTCTGTAAATTAGAAATCATTTGGCCTCGAAAACATCACTGCATTTCTTTAAACTAATTGTGTTAAATTTCAAAATTGTGAACCAACATGGGAATTCTGTTGTGAGATAAAGTCGTTCAGAACAAGTTGAAGTTCTTTAGAATAACGTTAGATCTGTAGACACCCATAACGTTGCTACATTTATTATCAATACCCAGTTTGTGTTGCTCAAAAGAATGCAAAAAATGTAATTAAATAATGATTAAAGTAGTTGAAAGAGCTAAAAGGAATAATGAATATTAAAGATAATGAAAAACTGACAAGGGCTTGTGCTTTTATTTTTTTTCGATTTGGTAACATTACAGGTAGTACTTCAAAATTTTGAAGATTTAGAATATGGAAGATCAATTTGTAATGGTGCATTTAGACATAACTGTAGAATCATTATTTGTGAAAAAAAAACAAGATTATTAGTTAAAGTATTTTTTAAGCTTTAAATAAAAGTATTTAGCTCAGAATTTCTGGTTCCTATTTCAATTTTTAA